GACCACGCTTCCCTATCTTTTTATCTTTATGTGCGTAGACCACACACAAATTCAATCCTCTTATACACCGACATGTGGTAACGTAGGGCCCGTTTTTTTAATTCAACCTATTAAATTTATTCAATATATTTTTTGCCATGTGTATTCCTCTTTTTATTCAACACAACCATTGTAGCCATTAAACTGTTGAATTTTTTTTTTTCAACATACCATTGTCGGTGGTCGTTTGCTGGATGATTTTTTTTTCTTTTCAATTATTTTTCATCGCATATCACTCTTTTATTCCATATTCACCAATAGTTCACAAGCAAGTATATTAATATGTACACGTAACCATTTTATTTTAATTTTGTTAGTTTCAGCATAAAATATTGGGGTTGGTTTTACAAAATGTATGGTGTAAAATTTATATGACCAAATCAAAATATTGGGGTTAGTTTATACCATTTGGTGTCAAAAGTTTTTAAATTTCGAGCATAATGTAATTTTATTAGTTTATATTCTTTCTAAAGCTTAGGAATTAGGTTATACTCTCTCCATCCCATTTTATAAAATATTTTAGTTGAATGCAAGAGAATTAAAAAAATAATAATTATAAATAAAACATCATTTAATAATTAGTTAAAAATATAATTCAACCAATCTTGTAAAAGACTATAAACTTTAAAAAATCAAAAATATCTCACAAAAACTTGTAAAACATCTTATAAAATAAAACAAAGAAAAATTTCTTAAACATCTTATACAATGGAACAGATGGAGTATCATTTATACATACTCAAATCCCATAAATTTACTTTGTTAATAGAAAACAAGTTTTGACGCTCTCATTAATTAAACAGTTATTATATACTTAAAAATTTGTGATTATAAATTGACGTTTTGTGATCAGGATGTGTAGTGGTTTAAATTAGTATTATTGTCGTTGTATCACCCTAAAGATTCAAATTCTATAGAATTTATATTGTTGATATAAAAATATATAAATGACGTTTTGTATATGTCTTGATTTCCTTTAATCAATATACTAATGGAAACCTTTGATCATTGAGGTAATACAATTGCTCTATTCTGGTGTTTTTTGAACGTCACAGATTTTACTGAATATAAATCAACTCAGTGGTGGAGTGTCGCTATTCTCGTATTTATATTGTTGGATTATTGTTCTTTTGTTTGTTATCATTTATCAACGCTAATCTCGTGTCTAGTGTTGCTTTTATACGTTTATTTTTTTAATATTTTCTTCCTGAAGTGTTCATAGAGCTAACA